TAGGAGGAGTAGGAGGAGGAGGAGGAGGAGGAGGAGGAGCAGGAGGAGGAGGAGGACAAGGAGGAGGAGGAGCAGGAGCAGGAGCAGGAGGAGGAGGAGGAGGAGGAGGAGGAAAAAACACGAAGAAAGCACATGGAAGAGCGGAGTCCGCCCCCGCACGCAGCGGCCCGTGGCCCCCTCGAGCCTCGGGCGCGAGGGCACGGCCCTGGCGGGGGTGGAGGGGCGGCGGGCGCGGCTGGGCGGCCCTCCTTGATCTGCACGCTGCCCGCGCAGCAGGCGCAGAAGTACCTGCCCCCACCCCGTCCCCAGACCTCCAGCGTAATGAAACATTCGATGCGGACGCTTTTCGTCGTCTTCGGCCTCTGGGGGCCCTCGCCAGGCCCCAGGACCGTCAGAGAACCACTCAGGATAGAAAACCGGTCCCACGGAACGGGTCGGGACTTCCATAAGGAAACCCGTATCTAAAAATTGTCTATCGGACTTCTGGGTCATCCGATGACCGCGACGGCTCCAGCTCGTCCCCCGCCGCCGTCGCCGCCGCCGCATCCTCCTCCTCCTCCTCCTCCTCCTCCTCCTCCTGCTCCTCCCCCCAATTGAATGATAAACGAAGAATAGGATAGTAAATGAATGGAAAATACTAAGGGATCAGTCATAAGAAGGATTTGGATACTAATGGACAACTAAGGAATGATCTAATACTATACGAATTTCAATTTACAATCTCATAATGTACGATATTAATCACCCATCCATCCCTAGTTCTTCCTCTCCGCATAATTTTTCTCACTGCTGCAAATCACTCCCTCTGCCCTCCTCCTCCATCTCCTCATAAATTCCTCCCCTTTCCTTTCCTCATCCATCTTTTCTCCTCCTCCTTCTACTGTTCCCCCTCCTCTCCTTATCCTCTTCCATCGCTCTGCTCCTGACTTGCCGCTCTACCTCCCACTCCTCCTTCTCCTCCCCTCCTCCTTTCCTCAATACTCATCCTCCTCCCCTCCTCCTCATCTCCTCCGTCCCCCTCTCGTCCTCTTCCTTCCTCCCTCTCCTCCTCCTCATTCCTCCTTCCTCCTCATCCTTCCTCCTTACCTCCTCCTCCTCGCCTCCCCTCCCTCCTTCTCCCCTCCTCCTCTCCCTCCTCCTCATCCTCCTATCCTCCTCCTCCCATCTCGTCCTCTCCTCCTTCCTTCTCCTACTTCCTCCTCCTCCTTCTCCTCCTCCTCTTCCTCAGTCCTTCCTCTTCCTGCTCCTCCATGCCCTCCTCCTTGTCCTCCTCCTCCTCCTCCTCCTCCTGCTGCTCCTGCTGCTCCTGCTGCTCCTGCTGCTCCTGCTGCTCCTGCTGCTCCTGCTGCTCCTGCTGCTCCTCCTCCTCCTCCTCCTCCTCCTCCTCTCTCCTCCTCGCACTTCGGCGAGTCGGAAATGACTCTGGTAGGTCATATTGCATCCAATTCCATGTCGAAAGAATACGATATGGGGTATGGGTGAGTAAGATGGGATAAGATCGACGCAATGATCTTTCCAGCACATAGCGAATACCAGATCAGGTATCTGGGCAAATCGGGCGCGCGTGCCTTGAGCCATAAGACAGCGAAGCGCAGGCTATACTCCCGATTATCTATCACATCACCCAAAGAGCTACCCCTAAAGTCGGGAGGGGAGGAGACGGAGAGTAAAACCGTGCGGTCGCTAGGCTCTCGACAGGCGCGCAACTCTGTTTGCAAGGAAAACAGTATGCGCAGTCTGGCCAACCACCAGATTGAAGGGCGACGTTATTCGCCGGCGAGTTTCCTCGCAAAACTTTTCCACGCACGCACAGGATAGCCCCTGGGATACACAAAGGCTATCGGCCCGGCTAGAGGTAAGCCAAACAGGCTATTCCCCTCCGGGCATAAGGGTATTAAGGCAAAGAGCCTGAACCAACCTGAACAGGCTCGCTGCCATGCGTGAAAAGTATGGCTCGTTTCCGAGCAGGAAAGAGGGCGCCTCCGTAGTAGGCGCCCGTGCTGGCAAACTGGACCGCAGGGGCAACAAGGACGGACTAAACTTGATTCGGCTTAGGTTTGGTTTTGTCCTCGGGGCCCCGAAAGGGAACAAACTGCTTCACGTCATACTTAAATGACTGAGAGCCTGACATCACTTCCAAAAGCAGCTCCCGGTCGATACTCCCCTTTGTATGCCCGTCTGCGGTCATGTCTCTAGTGCCACACCACTGTACGTTCTGCACTATACCTGTATCCATGAGCTCACGTATCCAGCTGATATGTCCCAGCAAAGTACGTTCCGTTGGTATCTTAAGGTCTTTGCTGGACAACGATTTGTATACAGACTCAGCGTCTATAGTAAGGGATACTTGGATAGCTGGGCCTCCAACTTCACGCATATCTCGTAGTTGTCGTGGGGTAAGTGCTGCGGCCTTGAGCTCGAGGAGAGTGATGAGCGTGGGGTAGCACTCATCAAGATTATGTGCAGCTGCAAGTGCCTCAGCGGCATAGCTGGACCTCGCCTGCAGTCGGTGTGACTTGCATAGTCCGTCGCAAAGGTGAACGACGGATTTGCCTGGGGCGAGTTTCCTCGCCGTAATACGTTAGCCCCACAAATGCCGCAGCCCTTGGTTTCATCGTCCTCCTCCCCGGTGAGTTTCCGATACCCCGAAGCACTATGTATGTCCACTTCATTCGTCGGTTTCATCCGAGGGAAGGTGATGCGTTTCGGGCTGCTGATCAGCTTTCGCGTCACAGCATTCAGTCGTCTGACTTGTAAGTTGGTGGGCTCTTGGATCTTCTGGAGAGATACCACATGCGCCATGGGCCAGACTCGAGTAAGAAGGGCATAGGCGAGAGCTCCTCGCAGGCTAACGAACATGTCGGTGATGAGCTTGGTAGCCTTGGCGTCTGCCGCTGCCCCCGTAAGCTCAGGATGTGCGATAGGACGTAGTTGTTTAATATACTCGTCCTGGTCCATGATCACATCCCCTAGTTCATTCTTCGTGTAGCGAACGGCACAATTGGTGCAAGACTGTTTGTTGAGCTTACATTTGCCAGACACCTTTTCGACGCGTTGTACATAGTCGTCTACGTTTTTCTCTAGGCCTGTCATATTGATGTCGTCGACGTGTTTTGCTGTTAACAGATCCTGACTGACTTCAAATTCAGGATCGTAGTTTGTCGGTGTAAGGCCTATAGCTCGAGTAGTCGTACGAAGCTTGAGGGAGAACGCTCTTGGGGCGTCCTTTGTACCCGTTCCTGGCTTGAGGCACCTGAGGCAGTGTCGGCTTTCATCATAAGAAGAGAAACCTGGTGAGGTGCGAGGCACCTGGGCACTTCCTGGTGGAAGGGCGAAGCAAATCATGCGAGTCTCCTCGCCGGTGGCATGAGCAAGTTCCTCATATGTCAGTCCTGTGAGGAACGCTTTGTCGATATCCATAGATGCTAAGATCCATTCTGGATGACATGCTGCCTCACTTGCCAGAAGCCTCTGGGACTGTCGGCGGGCAGTTCCCGAGAAGGTTTCTACATCGAAAGCCTCCGTGTCCATGAATCCACGGAGGACAAGTCTAAGGCGGATAGTTTTCGCATTCTCGGTGCCTACTTTCACAAACTTCCACTTGTATACATATCTGGATGTCACGATGTTGGAAGCTTTTGATAGGTCATACATCTCAAAGCATCGGTTGTCCAGCCAGATCTTGAGCTCGGTGTGCAAGGCTTCACTAACCTCTTCAGGATGTGCTGCTATGTCGGCTTTGCTGAGTAGGTCGTCTTCCTTGACTACCACAGCACGTTTAGCAGCCGATGATACTTATACTCTCATCATTGCGACCATGTTTGGTTCGAGCTGTGCGAGTTGGGTCTGGCCCAGCACGATCGTTGACATTTCTGGCGTGAAACATAGCTCGACATAGGGGCCGTGTTCATTCATCACTGGCAAGAGAATAGCCCTCGTCAGGCGTAGTCGAGCATAAAGAGACAAGGCAGGGCTCTTGTTATTCAGGCTCGTCTCCGAGCGTCTCCGACACAACGGTATCTTCCTCGTCCGCAGATGCTGAGACAGAGACACACTGGTCGGGAAGCATGGTTGTTGGGGCGCAGTAGAGATAGTCGTCGATAACCGTTGTGGGATGCAGGTCCACGCGCAACTCATCGTACCACTCCTCCATCATCATAGCCTCGATGTTGTGTTCCTCGCTTTTCTTCGTAGATTGTTGACAGGCGACCTTCACTTGGTGATGGAACACCTGGGGTGTCTGGGGGAGGCCTGTCTCCAGGCTGGTCGGGTCCTCCAGACGGCGTGTCCAAGTGCTGATACTTGGCAAGGTCGTCATGGAATCCTAGGGAAGGAACTTGTGACGTCAGGCACTGGATGAGTCTGGAGTGAGTGCTACCAGTGGTTTGAGGGATGTTCAGGCCGGTGCCTACACACTCATAATAGCGGAAGGCTGGGTTGGCATCGTTGTCGTAGTGGATCAGTGTAGACCCGGTGGCGTACTTCACCGCAGGTAGATTGAGCACGCTCTTGGCCAATCTCACGGCTACTACGCTCTCAACTCGGAAATAGTCTCGCACGAGATACTGTAAAGCAAGGTGTACGCGCGGGTGAAACTTGCTGTCGTCGGAAAGGTTGAGATTTCCCTTGTAGCCTGGGATATGGCCAAAGACTTTGGCAGGTTTCCCCCCGCCAAGGTGTGCCACATATGTAAGGACGGTTTGCATGGCCATGTTGTCCATGCCAAACTCCCTGGTGCGAAGGCCTTCAACGTATAGCGTGTGGCGAGCATCAGGATACATTACAACTACCTCACGCAATCCTGCCTTGACGACTACGTGTCCTCGTTCAGGCACGTTACGAATCACAGGGGACAAGCCATTCCAGCCTCCATGGTCGCCCTTAGAGGCCGTAGGTCGGTGATAGTCGACAAGTCCCCAGCTGAGTATAGGCGAGCACCATCTGGGGCTGTTTTAGCCGTAAGGGCACGGTTCGTCTTCGCTACCGCCGTGGCTTGAGTTATTGCTTCCAGGCTGACTTCCCTCATGCGGCGTTCGCGTTCGTGGCCTGACGTCTCGGGTCCCTTGGGGAGGTCAAGGGTGTCGAAGTCAGGAAGGAAAAAGGGCTGTCGCCCAGTGTGTGCTTGGCATGGCGATACTCCGTTGTAAAACGTGAAAGCGTTATTGACGAAGATGCCTTCGGCCAGTACTCTAGTAAATACAATGGGGATGTTGTGTCTGTTCAGCTCCTCCTCAATCATGTGGAGAGTGCCCCTAAGAATGCCATTGCGTGACTCGATCGAGGTCGCG